GATTTTTAAACCTTTTCGTTTAATAAAATAACATATTAGATGAACATATATCTGAAACAAATAACAAGTGGAGCACCATAATTTGAAGTTTTGATGAAGAGTCTGTATGCCTCTTGCTTTCCAGCCCCACAAACCCTTCTGTCACCCCTTTGGTGTGGGCCACAGTTTGAAAACCATCCACAACTATGTCATTCTCCTCAGATGAGAGTGTGAATCTCAGAGGTCCACCAGAGCTCAAATATGGTTTAATTGTCAGGCTGATTATTTTGTGGCTCTTTGATTTCTATCTGCAAACGTCCTCCTTTGCTTTCACACTTCCTGTCAACTAGATCAGTTAGGGTGGCTTTAGGGGGTAGCTTTTACTGCTGAAATCTCAAACTTGCACCTCATTTTCCCCCCCAAAATACATTCACACTGCTGTATTGATATTCTAAAAGTTTTACCCTGACATTGTAAGGTATTCTCATTATTTGGTATTTCATGGTAACTTTTTCTGTGATTTAATGAGTGTGTGGCCAAACACTTTTACCTTTCGCTTCTAATTAGAGTTTCCAGATAAATCATAGGAGCTCCAATTAAATTTGAACTTCAAATGAACAACAAACACATTTTTAGTATAAGTATGCTTAATATAAGAGTTTTTAGCATAAATGTGTCCCGTATAATTATTATTTATTGTTTACCTGAACTTTAAACTTAACCAACCTGGTTTTTTTTTTTTTTATTTGCTACATTTAGCCTCCTTAGGTACTTTGATTGTAATTATCTAGACCTAGTGAAGTAGCCACAAGCCACGTGTAGCTACCGTGCACTTGAGATGCGCTTAGTCCAAATTGAAATGTGAGTGTAAAAATACACACCAGGTTTTGAAGATCTAGTACTAAAAAATTATGTAAGCCATCTCATTAACAATTTTAATATTAACTACATGTTAAAATGATGACATTTTGGATAGGTGGGATAAACAAAATATATTAAAACTAATTTCACCTCTTTTACAGTTCTTAATGTGGCTGCTAGAAACTTTTATTTATTTATTTATTTATTTATTATGTCTTTATTTATTTTCAGATTTTATTTATTTACTTGAGAGAGAGAGAGTGCACGAGTGGGGGGGTGCAGAGGGAGAAGCAGACTCCCTGCTGAGGGGGGAGCCTGATGTGGGGCTCCATCCCAGGACTCTGGGATCATGACCTGAGCCTAAGGCAGATGCTTAACCAACTGAGCCACCCAGGTGCCCCATAGAAAATTTTAAATTACATTTGTGGCGTGTACTATATTTCCATTGGACAGTACTGATTTTCTAGACTTAGGGAAATTCTGAGTTTTGTCTGTTTTATCTTGCAGGAGATATTTCCAAGAAGGCAAATAAATACAATCAGCACAGAAGGCTGAATAAAGGTTGTACAAGATTTATACAAAACAAATGTAGCTAAACTAAACTGAGAAAAATGAGAGTTTATCTTTATGTTGGTGGAAGTAGTTTCATTTGGTGAACACTTTGGGGAAGGTTAGTTCTTCCAGATCAGAGAATGCGTAGGTACTATGCACAGATTAATATAAAGGGTCTATTATGCTTTATTGCTATTTCTCAGCAAAACACCAAAAGTACTGATTTCTTTTTTTTTTTTTTTAAGATTTTATTTATTTGACAGAGCACAAGCAGAGGGAGAGAGAGAGAGAAGTAGGCTCCCTGCTGAGCAAGGAGCCCGATGTGGGACTAGATCCCAGGACCCGGGCCGAAGGCAGCCGCTTAACCGACTGAGCCACCCAGGCGCCCCCAAAAATGCTGATTTCTTTGTGATTTCAAAGATACATGTACCATTTCCTTATGGATTTGCATTATAACTCATTGGCATTTAATTCTATTTAGTGAAGTTAAAGACTCTTATGTCATAGGCACCTAAATTTGGAAGGAATCACAACCTGCTAAGGTCAAGGTTCATAGCAAAACTAATATTAACTATTTCATCTGCCTGTAATGTACTTTCCCCAGAGAGGCTATGGGGTCACTCCTGACTGTGTTCAGGTCTCTGCTTGAATGTCATTTCTTTAAGAGGCCCTCCCATGACAGTATGATCTAAAATAACACCCTGTCACTTTCTCACTCTTACCCCACTATATTATTTTTTTATAACATTGACGTTCTATTTTATTTCATCCTTTCTTATATTAAATTTTAAATATTTAAAATTGTTTTAAGTAGCATATATCAATTTTTTTGTCTTTGCAACTAGAATAAAGCTTCATGATGCCCAAATTGTTCACTGCAGTAGCCTCAGAAACTGGAATAAATAGTGCTTAGTTGATAGGTATTGTGAACCTATGCCTTTCTGATATTTCTTAGCATATTTCCTTCTTATTGTTTCTTGTTACTTAAAATTTGTTTGTATCTCAAAATTCGAGTTTTAATTGGTCTTTCCCAGTTTGGAAGTCAGTAAAACATAACTCCTGGATCTCTGCTCATTTACTTCCTCCTAGTGGGCTCCTACCCTGAGCCTTGCATGTGCTGGGTGCTGGGAATACAACAGAAATCTGTATAGTAGAGCTCCAGCCTTCATCAAGTTTGCATCCCTATGAACAATCTCACTCTTAATGGTTTTAAGCTTCCTTATTGAAATGAGGTGCCAGAAAATTGAGTTCGTGTTGTGTAAATTTGTGTTGACAAATTTCTTTGCTATCTTTTGATGGAATCAGTAAAATGTGGAACACTTGCTTTGTACCGAGCTCTTGATGTATATTAACTCATGTATCCTCCCTGTAACATTAACGCTATTGTTATTCCCATTTTTCAGATGAGGAAACTGAGTCCAGGAGAGGCACACAATCAGTAAAAGACAGAGCCAGAATCCAAACGAGAGAAGCTACAATCGGAAGAGACAGAATCAGAATTTAAGTCCAGAGAGGCTAGCTCCAGAATCTTTTAACAACCTGCAGACAGAAGGCTCACGCTGCCACTTATATATCTACCAAAATATAACTACTGTTGACCTCTTTGTTGAAAGCTTAAGATCATGAGTTATTTAATCTAGTTTGGGCATGCAGTCAGTTTGGAATGTTCCTTATCTCCATTTAGCATAACCCAGTCTTAACCATTTCACAAGACTTGACATGCTATAAAATCAAGGTCCAGTTAGGAAAACGTAAATGCCTCTAGGCAGTACCTACAGAGGGGTTATTTGCATAAAGATGGAACAGCCAAGAAGCTAAACACAGCCGAGACTGGCGACCCAGAGGTTAGGAAGGCAGGGAACTGCTAGCACATCGAGGTCTGGAGAGATGGAGGGAGGAGGCAGGGTTTTAGGAAGCTGCTAGCATCTTAGGTCTAGGGGACGCTGAAGGAGATAGGGTTTCCATCACCCAGAAGCTAGGGCCATCCAGTGAAAGCAGGAACCACAGACGGGCTGTCTGGTGGGAGCTGGGATCACGGGGAGACACTGTAGGAGAAAGAAATATATTGTCTTTTCTTCTTCAGGCCTTTACTCTTCTTTCAGTGCCTCCCATTGACTAAGCCTCCTGGAATCCATTTGGCACTGGAGCCTGGGAAATGCACTGGAGCAGATGCATGGTTCTGTAGGCCAACAGATAATTGACCAGCATACGTGAGGTGTCATCTGAATTCATAACTCCCGTGCCCTTCCTTAGTACCTCTCCTCTTTTGTGGCATTATGGATGTTAGAATAGTGCTGGGTATACGTAGTCCCTGCTCATAGCACCTATTATGTACCAGAACTGTTGTGTGTACAGTTCGTGTAGTAATTTTTTTTAATCCTCACAAGAGCCCTGAAAAGTAAGCAAAACTAATATCCCCACTTTTCTGATGGAGAAACTGAGGCAAGTAACTTCCCCAACATCACATAAGAAGTAAGTGGCAGAACCTGGATTCAAATCTAGACTGTCCAGCCCCAATGTCCATTCTCCTAACCACTGTGCTCTGCTGCCTCTCGAGATCCTTGCCCTGAGCATCTAGTGCAGGGTGCTCATTAATAATATACTCACATGAAGAGATGGATTTCCTGATTTTAACATTATCTAGCAGTCACTTAGATTCTTCAACTTTTACAGCCACTTGGTTTTGTTTGTTTTTCCAAACTGTTTTCCTTCCTTTTTTTTTTTTTTTTCATGTTTCAATAGTCTCATTTCCCATAGTCTGACTGTCCAATTCTATGCCTTTTCATTTCCATCACAATGTTTTTGGGGGCTTTTTGGGAAGGTGATATTCATAGGGCTAAACACCCAGAGATATCTTTTTTAACAACTCCAGTGTTGCTGAGGGAAAGGACATTGTAATAAAATCATCCCACATTCTTGGGAACAGAATCAGTTTGATTCCTAGAAAGTCAGCTTTAATGAGGCAGTTAATCTTAAAACAGTTACTTTCTATGATCCATCTACCATTGGCGGCTTACTGTGTTTAAGAAGTTTGACTCACGGGTGCTTGGGTGGCTCAGTCGTTAAGCATCTGCCTTCGGCTCAGGTCATGATCCCAGGGTCCTGGGATCGAGTCCCGCATCGGGCTCCCCGCTCGGCGGGAAGCCTGCTTCTTTCTCTCCCACTCCCCCTGCTTGTGTTCCTGCTCTCGTTATCTCTGTCTCTCTGTCAAATAAATAAATAAAATCTTTAAAAAAAAAGAAGTTTGACTCACATGATCCCCTTTAATGCCCACAACAACCTTAAGTGTATTCTGATTAAATTCTCTGATGCATTTATTTTGTATCCTTTTTTGTTACCTATTCTTTTTCAACTGTTACCATGTCCAGTTCCAAAACCCAGGAACTCAGGCTAGTGTTCCACACCCAAGAAGTGGCAGAAGGAGGATTTGAACTTGTGTCTGTCTAGCTACAAAACTTACGAAGGTTTCAGTGAAGCTCAGTACCTTACAACATGAAGGCATGCAGAGATGAAGGAAATGCACCTGCTCTTAAAATGTCTAAGGAGTGGTGACGCTCCTTTAAAATGTACATGCTGGACACTGATTTCACAAAACATCTGGGACTACGAGATATGAGTGGTTCCCTTTAAATTCTTCAGGATGACCTCTTTTGACCACACAGAGTAGAAGGAAGTATCTGAAGAATGAATTGCTTTCAGTGAGTAAAACAGTAATAAACATGTATTTTAAATGTAATTAACAAGTACCTTTAATTAACAAATTCATATTCCTCTCTCGCATTCTGGTTTTCCCTGTAGTTGGGTTTCTGTGTATGTGTTATGGAGACTGTGACTTTAAAAAATATTTTTTAAAAGGCCCCAGTTACCCTGTGAGCACATTTTTATTCTGGCTCTGGCCACAAGTACTGAGTTTAGGCTCTATATCAAAATAAAATCCAGAGAGGCATTCCTAAACTTGGACCTTTTGTCCACGTCCACTTCCTGTTGACCGAGTGACAGCCTTTCAGCTGGCCTCTGCTCAAGCTGTTCGCACAGAATAGGGAACAGTGTTCTCAAGGGCAGCAAAATCTTGCAGCTGATTAAAAGTAGCATGAGATGCGACCAAAGTGCTAATTCTCTTTCCTTCTTGGGTTTGCTTGAGTCCAAAGGTCAAAAGGAAGACAGACCAGCTCAGTGTATTGGTGTGTAATTCCACTCTCACTATGGCTCAATGATACAACATACCCTGATCCTTGTCTCATCAAGTTCTTCAATCTTCAATCTTTGTCCCCTAAACACTGGCTTGTGTGAACATGCTATTAGCTGGCAGGGTCCAATTTCAGTATTAGCTGTTACATTCGGTTTCAAGCTCCTCGCACTTGTCTATGCTGGGTACGAATCAGGAACTGCTGCCAATTTTCTTTGAGGGCATTTTAGTATCATTATCCCAGTGCTTATGCTATTATCTCTCAAGTGTTGTTTTCCAGCTATTTTCCACCTCTAAAAAGACAGGGTGGTTTAGTTATTTTATCAATGAAATTTGAGCATGCAGTGTAGCTAACTCTTGACTTTGGATTTTCTTTATTTCACTACCTGGCTGAGGAAATGGTCATATTTACAGTGGGAAGGCACCTCAAGGATCATCTGGTCCCTCACCACTCAGAGAATGTTCCACGGAAGAGTGGCATGGGCATCACCTGGGAGCTTGTTAGAAATACTCAATCTTAGGCTCCACCCCAGACCTTTTGGAAGGACTCTGCATGTTTCATGTGTATTTCATGTGCAAATTAAAGTTTGAAGGGGATCTGGTCCAGATCCACAAGTACAAAGGCATCTTCTAACCAGTCTTTTTCTTTTTTTTTTTTAAAGATTTATTTATTTATTTGAGAGAGCGAGAATGAGAGAGAGAGAGTACATGAGAGGGGGGAGGGTTAGAGGGAGAAGCAGGCTCCTCGCTGAGCAGGGAGCCCGATGCGGGACTCGATCCAGGGACTCCAGGATCATGACCTGAGCCGAAGGCAGTCGCTTAACCGACTGAGCCACCCAGGCGCCCCTCCTCTAACCAGTCTTGAGAGAGGTTTTCCAGCCTCTTTTTAAATACTTTTAACAGTAGCAATGTCACTTTGGCAAGACTGGTTAGACAGCTGAACTTTGCCTTCTTATAATTTCCACTCTTGGATCTTTTTTTTTTCTTTAGGGCAAACAGAATACGTCTAAAATGACCTTCCTAATATTCGAAGGTAGCTAACATATTCCCTGTCCCATCCCATTCCTCCCTCTCTCCTTTTCTCTCTCTCATTCTCTCTCTTCTATTCCCTCCTAGCTGTCTCCTCTCTTTATTCCTCTCTCTTATCTCTGTTCATGCTAAGTATTTTCCACCATTCCTCCCCTGCCTGGTTTCCAAATTTTTCAACAGTGATGATTACTATTTTACTAACGGGCTCTATGTTGTCAGGTTCCTCTTAACATGGGATGTCCAACATGAAATATAGCGTGTGTGTGTGTGTGTGTGTGCTATTCCTTTAATGTATCAGTTAGTATATTTTAAGATACACGTTTGTAGAGAAGTGCAGGGGATTTTTTTGACCTGTAGAGCAAAGGGAGAGCTGTCCCTGATGACCTGGGAAGATTTAAAGGCTGGATGATCCAGTGAGTGACATCATTGTTCCTCATATGGTATTGGTAGGAGAATAAAAAAGATGGGGAGCAGCTACTTCAGTGGAAACTCTGCTAAGTAACACCAAAGCAGCAACACTAAAAGGCACAATCACACTCTTGACTTCCATTAACCACACTCCTAACTTGAGTGGAAAAGAAATTCTGGAGTAAGTATAAAATGCTGGTGAAAATTAAAATTGTAAAATGATCATGAAAATGCCATTTGATAATGTTCCTTGAGGTCAGGGATGGTCTAAGCAATCAACCTCTTCCCTGTTATTGACACTTGAATCATGTGTTACTGTGGTTGGTACAAAACTATTGAAGGCTGTTTAAACAAGTCCTAAAGTAGGATTTAGAGCACTGTTTTCAGCTCTAGTGCCTTGTGCTGACATGGGTAAATTAAGTGGCAGACTCAGGGAACACTTGGCCTGCACTCAGATATTTGCAGTAAATTTAGGTCTGAAATTTTGCCCATCCCAGTCCATACCACCCAGGTAACTTGGGGATTGGTGTTCAGTGTGAGGAATATCACAGTTTCCAGTTAAAAGTCTGCTCTACATTTTTCATGTTTTGCATAAACCATCCATCCATCCAGAATCCTAGGCTTTTACCACCTTTCTTAACTATTGGTTCTTATTTGGCAAAATGTCACTCAAAGAAATAATAATTGTTGACATTATTTTGATTTAATATAAAAACATTCTCTGATTTATAACTAGAACTCCCACGTAAAAATATCAAGTATGATCTTCCTGTTACATTTTCTGTGTTTTTTTCTTTCTTTCTTTCTTTCTTCCTTCCTTCCTTCCTTCCTTCCTTCCTTCCTCTCTCTTCCTTCCTTTCCTCCCCCCTCCCTCCCTTTCTCTCTCTTTCTCCCTCCCTCCCTTCCTCCTTCCCTTTCTTTCTCTCTTTCTTTCTTTCTTTCTTCTTTCTTTCTCTCTCTCTCTCTCTTTCTTCTTTCTCTTTCTTTATTTCTTTCTTTCTCAAATGTTCAGGCACTGGTGTTTGTCTTCACCATCATTACCACAGAGAAGTACAAACAA